GAACTGATCGGAACTGAAATTTCAGAACTGATCGGAATTGATCGGAAATGAAATTTCAGAACTGATCAGAAATGAAATTTCAGAACTGATCGGAACTGAAATTTCAGTGATCGGAACTGATCGGAACTGAAATTTCAGAACTGATCGGAACTGAAATTTCAGAACTGATCGGAATTGATCAGAAATGAAATTTCAGAACTCATCGGAACTGAAATTTCAGTGATCGGAACTGATCAGAACTGAAATTTCAGAACGGATCGGAACTGAAATTTCAGAACTGATTGAAAGTCATCGGAACTGAAATTTCAGAACTGATCGGAAGTGATCAGAACTGAAATTTCAGAACTGATCGGAACTGAAATTTCAGTGATCGGAACTGATCAGAACTGAAATTTCAGAACTGATCGGAACTGAAATTTCAAAACTGATCGAAAGTCATCGGAACTGAAATTTCAGAACTGATCGGAATTGATCGGAACTGAAATTTCAGAACTGATTGGAACTGAAATTTCAGAACTGATCGGAACTGAAATTTCAGTGATCGGAACTGATCAAAACTGAAATTATACTGAACAAAACATATCTATAATTATGGGGGAGGGAAAAAAAAAATCATACTACAAAATTCTAGTGAGCAAAAAGTTAACTCACTCCTGATCAACTTAAACAGTTTAAAGTTTATTTATACCAAAATCAGAGAAAAAATAGCAGAAGTCCATCACTGAAGGATGATAAATTCTGTTGAAAGTAGATAATATATGAAATTGGTTTTGAGGAAAGTTCTTAACTTCTGGAAGGTTTAGATGATAAGTAATAGCAATACCATACAGAAACTGAAAGTTCTGAAGAGGAACAAGGATTTCATTTCCTAAAACGGAATATATGTTGATTTATATCAGTACTATGAATTTTGAAACACATTCATTAGATATAAAGTCCAAATAGGTTTTAAACAAAATGGATAAAAACCAATATGGACCCTGCCATCGTTAGGGTCTGCAAGGGTCACAATCCAAATTAAACTAGCAGAGAATTATTTCGAAATTGGATTTTCAGTCAGAAATAAATGGAGAAAATATTTGTTATCCTAATGAAGTTCAGATGTTTCTCATGGCACTGAAATTTCAGAACTAATCGGAATTGATCAAACTACTTTAGTCGATTCTTATGATTTCAATCACTATTCTAAGGCAACTAATTGAGATGGTGAAGGGGTCACAACGGTCACAGCACAACTAATCAGAACTGAAATTTCAGAACTGATCGGAACTGTTCAGAACTGATCATAACTGAAATTTCAGAACTGATCAGAACTGAAATTTCAGAAATGATCAGAACTGAAATTTCAGACCTGATCGGAACTGATCAAAACTGATCGGAACTGATAAGATCTGTAATTTCAGCTCAAAAGTATAAACAAGTAACTGAAAAAAAAAAACTATACTTGGTTACTTAGAACAACACTTACAATAGCATTGGCTATTTGCTGGGTTTCGGCATTCTTTGGGTCTATAGCCCACGATCCATCTGCATTACGAGTTTGACGGGCCAAAATCCAATAAAGAGACCGATTTTTAAGCTTTTCACTCATTACACAGCTTGTTGTGGACTTTGTGGTGCTTGAAGATTCTGCTGGAATTCTATTGGTCTTACTCCAATCAACTCGAGCCCTCTCATAGCTCTTGGAGCCTAGATGGTGGCGATGCTTATTATTCTTTGCATTTTCCTTGCCTTTTTCACTCAGAGCCTATTACAAAATGGAAAGCTATTGTAAGTAGTATTGTAGATGAAATAAAGTATATATGTGAAAAATACTTTCATAATATCTTACACACCTTAAATTCATCTGTATTGCAATATGTCTCAAACTATTTCCATTGCTCTTCTGTGATGTAACCTTCATAAAGTCCCAGGGCTTAATGTTTGCACTTGGTGAGTCAGGCGAAGGTGCAGTTTCCTTAGTAGTGAATCGTGAAACTAACCAAGACTTGTGCTTCCTAAATCTAGCACCAACAGCTTCGTGGAACTTCTTCTCTTTACTACCCTTGGGATCATCAATGTGGAACTTCCGCTACAAAATTAGAGAATGTTAATATTCATAATTATTTATAAGTATCGTTAAATTTAGAGCAATAAACCATATTTATATCGTAATTACCTTACTCTCCTCCCACAAGTTTTGCTTTTGAACTTTATCATACTTCGGATATCCCTTCACATTAATGTTAACTCTTTGAGCACAATTACCAATTTGCTTCCCATAAGCAGATTCCCACTTTCCAATAGGCATGTCAAACTCATCAAATTCGAGGAACATGGGTGTAATTGTTTGGACTGATTTGGACGGGCCTCGTCCCTTTTTTGTAGAAGATTTTACTTGGGAAGTGGAGGCATCCATGTCACCAGATTGTTCCTGTCCATCATGATCGTCTCTGTTTTCTTCCATTGTAGTATGCCTACACCTACATAAAGAATGAAATTAACAAGAATAGAATCAAAATCATACCAATAAAATCATATTAATGTAAATACTATACAATAAAGAAATTAATGATTTAGATATATACCAATTTAATAAATTCAATATTAATTGCAAAAAAATACTATTGTTAAAGGAATACAATAACACAAACCTTGGTTGTAGGTATAGGAACCACTAACCCTTCCTCACGATCATACTCTACATCACCAACAATATCTTCCCCTTCTTGTAGAGGTTGCACTCCCATTGTTATAGGCCGGATGTCATCAAATTGGTCATACTCTTCTTCATCCACAACATCTTCCACACCCACAATTTTTCTCTTGCCTTCAACTACAACACGCCATTGCGGATCTATATTATCCTTGATGTAGAATACTTGTTTCGATTGTGAGGCTAATACAAAAGGCTCATCACCATCAGTATAACGACTAGAGTCAACCAAGGTGAATCCAAATAACTCATCGGTTTTCATACCACGACGGTTATCAGCCCATGTGCAACGAAATAAAGGAATTGTGAAATCAACATAATCCAACTCCCAGATTTCTTGAATGACACCGTAATATGCCTGTGTAGCTTCAACTGGCCTTGTATCCCTAGAACTTGAGTATTCAGTAGAAGATGCAACCACGACAACACCACTATTTTGTTGCACACTTTTTTCATCTTGACGACAAGTGGCAAAAGTAAATCCATTGATATCGTAACCCTCATAAGTATACAGAAGTGGTTGTGGACCTTGTGAAAGCCACTTGATCGTTTCAGAAACATTCTCATCTCTACTCAATTCAAGCTTCAATTGGCCTTCAAACCACTCAACAAAGTGGCGATTATGCTCCTGCATCAACGCATAGGCGCTAATCCTGGGATTGTGAGTTTTCAACTCACGAAGATGTTTTTCAATATATGGATGAACTGCAGATAGGTTTTGTAGCACAAATCGGTGGGCTTTCTTATATCGATCAAGTGGAGGTTTAACCAATTTTCGACCTACTGTACCCCCCTTTCCTTGAAGTCTTCCCTCGTGACGAGAAGTCGGAATCCCAATTTCTTTAGCCTTAGCTAAAAACACTGAACAATAGTTCCCTGCTTCCTCTGCTATGAACCCTTTCACGATGCTCCCTTCAGAATTTGCTTTGTTCTTTGCCTTATCTGCCAAAGTACCCATTTGCCTCTCATAAGGGTACATCCAACGCATAAATACAGGACTGCACTCATTTATCTCACGAGGCAAGTGCATAACAAGGTGAGTCATTATGTCAAAAAAGGAAGGAGGAAAATACATCTCGAATTTGCATAATGTTTCAACAATATCATATTCCATATTGTCGAGTGTTTTTGGATCTATCACCTTACTGCAAATTGCATTGAAAAACAAGCAAAGCTTCACAATAGCATGCCTAACATGTTTTGGCAAAAGGCCTCGGGGTGCAATTGGCATGAACACTTGCATCATCACATGACAATCATGGGACTTCATACCAACAACTTTCTTATCGGTAGTAGAAACAAAACACCTTATGTTTGACGAATACCCTGTCGGCACCTTGATTCCTTTCAAACACTCACAAAAGATCCTTTTTTCTTCTCTAGACAATGTATAACACGCATGGGGCAAAAATGCTTTTTTTGTTGCTTCATTTTCCTCAGCCCATAACTTAGGTCGAATTTTGGCTTCCTTCATGTCTCTACGCACATTAACACCATCCTTTTTCTTTCCTTTGATATTCAACAAAGTCCCAATTAGTGCCTCACAAACATTTTTTTCAATGTGCATAACATCAAGACAATGTCGAACCGACAAGTGCTTCCAATAAGGCAGATCCCACAACTTAGACACTTTTTTCCACAACACACCCTTCTTCGGTATCTCTCTATGCATCTTACCGAAGATTGTCTTAACATTTTTAATTTTCTCATACACTTCAATTCCTGTCAATGGCTCACGACTCACTCCCTTCTCAACATGCCCGTCGAATTGTAGTCTCATCTTCCTGTATGGGTGATTTCGACGAAGTGATCGTCTGGTATGCATGTACACATTCTTCCCCCAATGCTTCAAGCGTGTAATTTGCATGTCATCCTCACAAATAGGGCATGGTTTTTGTCCTCGACAAATTTCCATATGCAGGAAAGTCATTAATAGTACAAAACACCATGGCTCTTAATCTGAAATTCGTACCCGAAAGAGCATCAAATGTCACAACACCTTCATCCCACAACAGTTTCAAATCGTCAATTAGGGGCTCCAAATAAACATCTATCTCATGGCCAGGTTGTTTAGGACCTAGGATTAGAAGTGATAACATGATGTACTTGAGCTTCATGCACAACCAAGGAGGTAGATTGTATATTGACAGAAGAACAGGCCATGTACTATGTTGACTACTAAGAGTGCTAAATGGATTCATCCCATCCGTACTTAATGCCAGTCTTATGTTCCTCGGCTCCTTCCCGAATTCCGAAAATGTCTTGTCAATGTGTTTCCATTGCAACGAATCAGCTGGGTGTCTGATCAACCCATCCTTCTTCCTCTCATTTTCATGCCAAACCAACTTCTTGCTTCATCCTTAATTGAGAATAGGCGCTTCAACCTTGGTATTATAGGAAGATACCATACTACCTTAGCTGGTGGCCACTTCAAGGGATCCTTATTTAAGCCCTCTCGCTTGTATCGTGACACACCACACTTTGGGCAAGCATCCAATTTTGCATTCTCCTTTCGGTATAGCACACAATCATTAGGACATGCATGGATCTTGGTGTACTCTAAACCCAATGGACACATCAACTTCTTCGCATAGTAAGTCGACTTAGGAATGTCATTTCCTTCTGGAAACATATCAGAGAGGGTTTCCAACAACAAAGTGAAACTAGTGTTGGTCCACCCGCTCTTTGCTTTCAAGTTATATAAAGTTAAAATCCCAGAAAGTTTGGAATACTTAGAACAACCAGGATACAACGGTGTCTCAACTGCTTTCGACACATTCTCATATATATGAGAATCTTCATCAACATGATCGCCTAACCCGTCTATCATCTCTTTTATCCTGTCTTCCTCAACATCATCATTAAAACCCACTTCATTATCATCAAAACCATTCGGCTCTCTCTCATCAGCTTCATTGTCGTTAATAGAAGAATTATCCGCGGGAGGAAATTTTTCACCATGCCAATACCAAATACTGTAGTCTGGCATAAACCCACGAATAATCAAATGGTCCTCTATTTTCTTAATGTCTTCCCACCTCTTCACATTGTTACAATCACGACAAGGGCAGAAAATAGGTCTTGCTTTGGTTAGCCTTTGTTCAACGAGTGTACTCCATTGGTGTTGCACTGCGATTCTACAGAACTCTTTGACCCCGGCTAAGTATTCAGGTGTGGTTCGAGAACCACTATACATCCAACGACGGTCCATTTCTAAAAATGTATGATTAAAACCCAAGAAACAAATTATATTCAACATCACATATCAACACATTCCAAATGCATGATTCCAAAGGTCCTTATCGCTCCAACCTAACCCATCCTTGGAAGTGTATTCTCACTAGCAAATGGTTGACCATTTTTCGGCCCTAAGGAAATTTCGGCAGCATTTCCCTATGGTTCTCAAAGTACACGATGTAATTAATTTCTTAATTACATATGTACCCCGAGAACACATTAGGGAATGCTAACACAAAATTACCTTTACTTCCGAAAAACAAGCAACCATTTACATCCTAAGTGAGAATACAATTCCAAGAACAGTCCCAAACGGGGACTATTCAAGATTTACTCCTACTGAGTAAATCTTGAACGAGTATCTAGGCATATGAAAATATAATGCATAATAAATATTAACACATTTGAATTGGCAGAAAATTGGAAGAAAATTAAACAAAAATCATAAGACAGAAACTCTCAATGCAATGTACTAATTAAACAAAAAAAACAAGCTACAAAACAATTAATTACTCATACCAAATTGTCAGATTTAAGCCGAATCAAAACACCATCTTGAAATGAGGACGGAGCTGCTTTAATGGAGTTGAGGGAGCTAAGGACCGAGCTGCTCCTGAAACATCAGATTCAAGTCACTCCCATTTCCCACCAAAATCAAAATATCAAATTAAATAGAAGTAAGTTTCCATTTCCAAACAAATGGCCAGGAATATCACTGTAGTAAGACTTTTAAACTTAGGGTCAGATAACAATTTTGTAAAGGTTTTTATTTTGATAACATTCAAAAGTTATTTGAAATATGTGTAGCGAGAATCTTTTTGTGCCCAGTGGTAATCACATCCAAAGCTTATCATGCTTAGCTCAAAATTCAAAATTAATTCATACTTAGCTCAAAATCCAAAGAAGCTAAGTATCACATCCAAAGCTTATCATGCGATTCTACAGACTTTAAAAGAAGGACAGTTGAGATATGGGTTAGAAGAAATTGGAAGATTATAGGCCTAATATGTGCAGAATAAAAAGCCATCTTTTCACAGGAATCATAGCAGATTAGCAGGAAAGGCGCTTGTAATATAAGAAGCTACTTAGCCTTGGCCTCCTACCAAGCAAGCAAGGATTGTGGTGACATAAAAGCAGAAACTTCAAAAGACTCTACATACCCAACCACAAGACAGGACCTCAACACACTGTCCAATCAACAAAGAATCTACGCACTTTGATCAACCATACAACAATATAAGCAAGTGCTTCAATCTAAAGATGACGAGAATAAATCTACAAACCCCTAAAACAAGCTTATTTCAAAACATTAACTTACCCTACCAAAAAAAGATACACCCAACTTTCTCTTTATTTCTTCTGCTTCATGCCATCCATGTGCTCCTTTAACTATACCATTATACGGTTATACCTACTAACGTTACTACTTGCTTCCCACCTTTCTCATCACAGAAATCCTTGTTCTTAAGCTCTATACAGTGCGATTTACATCCAAAAGAACAATCCTTTGGACTTTGGTGAGTTAATTCAGCTCATTCTACTAAATATTAAAGCACACAATAATTACCACCACCCTATCTCAAACAAGAACTTATACTACTTCAAAAATCTACTTAAAGCAGGAGGATCAGGAAAACATGAAAACAAACAGTACAAGAAAGTTAATACTTGTATACATAGATCATACATATAACAATGTATATGGTTTCGAAACACAAAGATGCCAATGCTTCTTTTTGTGCCCAGTGGTAATCACATCCAAACTGTCCTTCTTTTAAAGTATCAATTAATTCATATTTAGCTCAAAATTCAAAGGCTTTTAAACTAAAACATAATAAAACCCAAAACAAATGGAAAATAGTAAAATCAATCAATTAATTTGGGGAAAAAAAAATAAAACCTATAATTCAGTAATTGCAATTAAGCAAACTGAAACAAGGGTTACGAAATTGGGGGAGGACAGAGAAAGAGTACGCTTTAATGGAGAACTATGAGCGCTTCAATGGAGAACTCAGACAACGCTTCAATGGAGAACTCATACAGCGCTTCAATGGAGAACTCGGAGTGCGCTTCACTAATGGAGAACTCGGAGTGCGCTTCAATGGAGAACTCGGAGTGCGCTTCAATGGAGAACTCGGAGTGCGCTTCAATGGAGAACTCGGAGTGCGCTTCAAAGGAGAACTCGGAGTGCGCTTCAATAATGGAGAACTCGGAGTGCGCTTCAATAATGGAGAACTCAAAGTGCGCTTCAATGGAGGAGAAGAGTGAGAATGAGAGGAGCAAAACGCGCGGGAGCTGCTTCAATAATGGAGAGAGAAAGAGGAATTTTTTTGACAGAGGGAGTGAGAAAGGGGAAAGTGAAAATTTAGGGCTTACTTTAAAACTTTATTCGTAACGGACACCCTATGTTAGTTACAAATAACAAGGTCAAAATTCTGTTGACTTTTCTATTTGTAACGGGCAATCTTTGTTGGTTACGATTAGTTACTTAATCGTAACGGGCAGAATAATGCCTGTTACAAATAAGTCCTTATTCGTAACGGGCATCAATATGTCCGTTACGAATAACAACTTTTTCGTAAGGGGAACCAATTTGTCCGTTACGAATAACCCTTTTCCTGCCCATTTCACAACTTTTTTGTAACGGACATTGAATTTGCCCGTTACGGATGACTAAATTGTAACGGAAAATCATATGTCCGTTACGAATAGCTTGTTACAAATAAGATTTTTTCCACTAGTGCCCCTACCCTCTACTAACCCTAACAGCTCTCACCTTCGCCTAAACCACTTGCAACCACCACCTAAAACCTCTCACCGCAGCGTCAACCACATCCCTTTTCACCTCCAACCACCGTGAACCACCAACCACCACTTAAGACCATCAGCCACCGTAAACCACCTACCACCACCAACCAAAAATCACCAACAAATTCAAGAAAACAAAGAAAAAATATACAAATTGTAGATCTGGAAAAAAAAATGAAAAAAAAAACCCACAAAAATGAATCCCATAAAAATCAACCCACAATATTAAACAAATTCACAAAAATTAATCCAAAAAATCAAATTTAAACCCACAAAAATCAACCCACGAAATCAAAATTAAACCCACGACAAAAATCAACCTACGAAATCAAAATTACACCCACAAAAATTATACAACAATCAACGAAATCAACCAAAATAAATCCAACAATGTAGTCAAAATTTAAACCATACAAAAATGAAAGTAACCCACAATCTTAAATAAAAATCAACATACCTTATGATATTTCACATGTTTTGGGTTTTAATGGTCAAACTCGACCATGAAAATTCCAGATCTGGTTTTCATGGTCGAGATTGAACAAAAAAAAACCGTAAACTTCGATTTAAAAGTAAATGCTCTTGATTGTGATGCTAGTAACCACATAAATTCATAAGGAAAGTCAATGGGTCATTATGGTGGTGGTGGTTTTGATGAGGGAGAAGATGGTGAAAAAAAGAGTGCTAAAATAGGAGATAGGAGACAGTGGCGGATCTAGGATTTTTGAACTTATGAGTCACCATCAATAATTGATCACTTGTTTCAATCCAAAAATTATATAAAAAAAATTATATTTCCCCAAAATGATTTCAATCCAAAAATAGGATCTAAAAATACATACTATAAAACTATTACATTAAACTAACTTTATGATCTTTCACTTAAAAACAAGAATTGTAAAAAAAAAAAAGTTAGATGACTTAAGAGACCGGTTCTTAAATATAACAGGTCTCTTTAATGAAATATGAAAGCAGGGGAAAAAATTATTTTGACAAAAAGAGACCTGTTATCTAGATAACAGGTCTCTAATGACGTGGTGGCAATAGAAGAAACAAAGAGACCACCTATCTGATATTTTAATAGGTGGTCTCTTTGATATTTAAAAAACTGACAGTGGGCTAATCACAAATAGAAGCAGCAAAGAGACCGCCTATCTATAATAGGCGGTCTCTTAGTTTTTTTTTTTGTGCTGGTGAGTCACGTGACTCACTGTGCACCTTAATAGATCCGCGCCTGATAGGAGATGGAGAGCAGTGGAAGCAAAAGAGAAGGAGGAGAAAAGAGAGAGGACAAGGGGAGGAGAGGCGTGAGGAGAGAGAAGAGAAATGAGAGGAGAGAGGCTAATTCGACTGGAAAAAAAATTAGGGTTCCTTAAGATTTTAGGATTACAAAAAAAATTTGTTTTTTTTTTTTTTTTTTTTGTTTTTTAAAAAATTACCGATGGCTTTTAGCCATCGGTAAAATACTGATGGTCTAAGACAATCGGTATTTTTGTTTTACCGACGGCTTTTAACCATCGGTAAAAAAATTAAATAATCTTTTTTAAAAAAATAATATTCCGATGGACGAAAGCTATCGGAAAAAATATATCGATAGCTAGGCCATCAGTGTTTCTCTAAATACCGATGGCTTAGAAAAACTATCGGTAAATTTCATCTTTATCGATGGATATTAAAGGCCATCGGTAATTCCCATCGGTAAATGAGCTTTTTCTAATAGTGTATTATCATGCAAGCAAATCTAGAGAATTCTTCATACATCTTGGGGCATCCATTTCCACCGACCTAACCAACTATAAATAGTTGGAGTTTGGCTCATATTAAGGGATCCAACCAATATACATTCAACCTCCATTATACAAATTTACCCATTCACAAAATTACTCATCCATTTACACTAATCTCCCTAGTTAATCTCCTCCTTGTAATTTATTCCACTATTTTCTTTTCTTTTATTTTGAGAGTTTAATTGTAAGAGTTGTATCTCAATACCTGTGGGGAATAGTTTCAAGCCTTTAAAATCCCACTAGCTTGAACCCCACTATGATCATACACTAAAGTACGGTGGCGTCCAAAAGGGAAGAAGATAGAGCAAAAGAGTCGCCAACAAGTTTTTAAGGAACTTGTAAACCGTTCATAGGATGAAGGTTACACCCCTTAACGATC